ATATCCAGGGTAATATCAACTGGTTAAACGGGCTGGTGAAATCAGAATTTCAGAGCCTGTCTGAAGTATACACTTTGGAGCCATGCAAAATGAGCATACCCAATGAAGGTGCACCAAGTACCTGATTTGAATCTGGTAATTACTCAGCCTGAATGCAACCACACATAATTTGAGTAAATCAATGAGCTGCAGATACAAGATCTAAATTTATGTGCCTTTCTCAGACGTTCTCAATACTCAGTTTTTGTTTTCTATTGAATGAAAGGCCAGACAGGAAAATCTAATATGCTGTTGCATTTATGGTACGTGTATGGAAATTTATGTTTTGTACGTACAGTGTGTAACAACTAATTTTGTCATAAATTCTGGAATATCAGCTTTAGCAGCATTGCAACTTCATAGCACCACTCGTTTTTATGCAAATTTATAATCAAAAGACACCATACACCACAAAACAATACTCCACAAGTACACACAATACATCTGAATTTCATTTAGTAATAACTTAATGGGTTTTAACAGGTTTAAATTCTATATTTGTTGAGATCGAAATATTTGTCATTCTGAATCCTAAATATGGAGTAATCCATTTAAGAAATATGCCTAATATGACACTCAATTACCAGTGTTGTAAGCATATGAGTATACCAACATCAAAATAATAATTAAGATATTCTGGGTTGTTTTGAATCTGGGATATTGGAAATGGTACGACTTACAAAGCCAATTAAATGAGGACAACGTTGTGCATTCAGGTAATTGAGAAAATTACTCTTAGTTAGTTTCACAATTCCCAGTATTTCCGGAGAGTTAAAAGAAACCGAATTTTCCCAAAAACGTTATTCATTTTTCTGATTTTATTTGACATCGGATTTCTTAAAGTAAATTAACATTGTCACTTTTTCTCCTCTGTAAGAGGGCATGATTTGAATTTATGACATATATCATCTCTTGTGCTCAATCATCAACTTTATTTTTTTTCATAACCAGGTAGATACACAGTACCTATTTCCAATTTTAATGATGTGCTATTGTACATAAAATATATAACATATTGATATTATCAAATTGCCAATGTTGAGAGAAGTAAGGACATATTGAAATTCTAATTATGCCATCTTGTAGAGGAGAGAAAGTGGAAAAGTTGATGTACATTTATTTTGATATCTCAAAAGTAAGGGAAAAATAAAAAACTTTTTGGGGAAATTTGGTTTCTTAGTTATTTAAATGCGCAAATTTACGCCCATTTAACTGACTGTGTATCTCTTACCGTTACTGAGATCATAATGATGTGAGTTGAAGTTGAAACACCCAGTATACCCCCTCCAACTACATTCTTGCACCCCCAAAAAATTGTTCAATAATGTGCTAAGACTTTGGAAAACACTGGAAAAGCAAGTTTGAACAACAGTTTTCCTTTTTATTTCCCACAGTACTGGTGAGGAAGCATTGAAGTTGTGAAACATTTTTAAAATGACATATTTTTTTGATGTTATATGACACATACATGACAAAAAGCTATGTCACTCATTTCCTTAGATCTGGCTGTTTGATAATCCTTGACCCATCTATAACTTGGAATGTTCTATTAATCATGTCTAGTTTCTGGGTGACCAGCCAGCAAAATAACAAACTGACTGATGTACTGTGACACAAAGGCAAAGGTCCTACAGATCACCTAGACAGACAAGAACAAATAGGTAACTTGGAAAGTATTGTGCAGATTCTGACACAAGGTTGTTGAACAGGTGGTTTATGTCAACCTGATTGTTAGTGAAACATGCAGCTTTCAGTTAACCCAGATAAAAATCTTTGTAATGATAAAATGCTGCATCACATAAAGGTGGAAAATAAATTTAATAACAGCATATTAAGGAAAATCCTCATAAAATTGGAACCTCATGTGTAGCAATTTTTGGATCACAAATTTTAAATCATTGAACATTTAGTGTGTTATCATTTCATTTTGTGAGAAGCGATCTGCTTCATTGCTGTTCGATTTTTTGTACTGACAATTTGTGAATTGTTGCAATGAATTACTTATAATTGTTGTATACAATTCTATTAATTAAATGAATTTTAGAGTTTAATGCAGTACTACAAGGTGAACTGTACTACTATAATATCTCAGGCATAAGTGCATCAGCTCTGAATAATTCTGTAGTCCAAGCCAAGCAATAGGGCTTCATCTGGGATTTTAATGTTATAAAATTGTTATGCCCAAACACTATTTTTAGACGTGTGAAATGTGAAAGAAACAACAGATAATTAGGCAAGGCTAATATACTCGTATTGAAAACTCACGTTTTCGACAATTTCTGATAGTATTCCTTGGAGAGCCTCAGATTTTTCTTTGGCTGTTTCATCGCTATCCAAAATCCCCATTATGTAGGATCCAAAAATATCTTCGTCTGTTTTTAATTCTTGCAATTTTCCGCTTAGCCAGGTGGGAAAATCTTCCAGTGCCGTGGCCATTTTCCACTATAATCAGAAAGTAACTTAAGTATATCCAGCTTATTTTCAATTTTTTTAGGTCCGATAGATGTGAAAATAGTGAGGTTATTCCCGGTAAATCCTAGAGTTGACAGACAGTTGATATTCATTTTGACATTTCAGCATGTCTTTCAGGTTTCAGCATTCCCAGAAGCTGTGATTCTGTAGTTACACCAGAACTAAAATTCCAGGCGGGTCTTATCTCAGAACGAGCACAATTTTTTTCTGGAGAGTATCTATGTAGACATGAAGACTGAAGCCGCGCTCAAACTTTGAACGCTCAAAAAATGAGAATTTTAGCATTTTGGCATTTTTTCTTTCTGGCTGGAAGTACTATTGTCCAAAGAATTAAAAAATTACCCCCGAATTACAACCTGATAATTCATTCGACAGATGTTTCGGCCAAAAGCTAATTTCTTAGAAGTGTTTTATTGGATTGCCAAATCGATGGCCCGAAACTAAAACTCCACAAAATCAACTTTTTCCTTGAAGGAATCCTATCCCCTATATGGGTCGGTCTCAATTTTTTTGAGAAGTAGCTATGGAGGCATGAGACTTTGCAAAATCTCCTATTCCTAGGTCGAACGGTTCGGTTTGAAAATGCCGTCAAGTTTGCACGTTCTGAAATAAAATAATTTTAATGTTTTGTCAACGTTTAATTTTTAGACAACTAGAATCACTAGAAAGCATTGAGTCCCATCATTAATAGCTATTCCGAAGTAAGGTGGTCCAAAGAATTGAAAAATGATCTGCAAATTACAATCTGATAATTACTTCTCGGCAGATGTTCCAAACAAAACTGATTTCTTCTTCTTTCACTGTTTTAAAGATTGAATTGAAATGAATTTTGTACTCATCCCTTTAAATTGGTCGACTGGGCCTTTAAATATAATTTTCCATATTTTGAACTTGAATTGGCCATGTTCATGATAGTGAAGGGCAAATCATGTCTCAGATCGCGCTTAATTTTTTTCTGGACAGTACATATATATATCTACATGGTGTGGCAAAAGTACCGGACATCTCGATAAGTCCTTAGGAATACAATTTAGGAAGAAATGCTTCCAATAAAAGTTGCAGGATTTTTCCTCAGCTATCGGTCCCTGGAATCGTCCTTGAAGGTTATTTGAAGGTTAACTTTAAAATTTAAAAAGTAAACCCATATTATTGATTCTGGTAGAGAAACGAACTGAAAATTTTACGTTTAAACATGACTCAAATGACCCTCATATTAGACCTTGAGTAATCCCTCAAGGTCAAACTACCACTTTTGCTGGATATTGACAACTCTTCGGGAATGCATTTTAGGGGGAAATGCTTCAATTAAAAGTTGTAGGATTTTCTCATCTGCTATCAGAATGTTAGATTGGATTCGATTTTGTTATCGACCATGAAGGCCATTTGAGGCTAACTTCAAAATTTCGAATGTTAACCCCGGCAATGACACGAGCATAAACATTTACGTTCAGATATGACCTTAACTGACCGTCATATTTGACCTTGATTGACCTCCAGGGCAACCAAGGCAAGGATGGATGATAGTCCCAACCAAAGGGCCTCAGCCATATAGTATTAGTTTGGGTCAAAGTGAAACTACCACTATATGGCCGGGGCCTTTTAACTTGCCTTAATTTCCCGGTGACCATTTGAGGTCCTATATGAGGATCATTCAAGGTCATATTTGAACGTAAAATTTCGTTTCAATGAAATTTTGGAAGTTGATTTTCAAATGACTTAAGTAGACAAGGTTAAGATCAAATCCAAGATCACCTTCTTATAGCTAATGAAAAATCCTACAACTTTTAAATGTAAGCATTTTCCCCAAAAAGAATTCCCGAAGAGTTATCAATGTCCAGCGTTAGTGGTGCCTTGAGCTTAAGGGATCACTTGAGGTCAATATGGAAGTCAAACTGCTGTCTTGATTCGGGTCTAAATGCCGTCGTCGGTTGGAATTTCTTCCTAACGGTCCGCTGGTACGAGTGGCAAGCTTCTTCAGAGGCTATTCCATTTCCGATGCTGAATGTAGACAGTCTACATCGAATCAAGACAGCACTTTATCAACTGGCCGCGAAAGCCTTAACCAATTTGTCAATATGGAGGTCATTCAAGGTCATGTTTGAGCGTATAATTTTTCGCACGTTTCATTACCGGAATCAAGAGTAGGGGCTTACATATGTGATTTTAAAGCTTACCTTCAAATAACCTTCAAGGTCGAAACCAAAGTCACCGACCGATAGTTGAATGAAAATCCTGCAACTTTTATTGAAGCATTTCCCCCTAACAAGTTTTCTCAAAGAGTTATCTCAAGCCGTCCGATACTCTTGCCACACCCTGTACAGGCACATAAAGACTATGAAATTTCAGATTCCTGGAGGTCGAACAAATTCAAATTGGAGACGTATTAAAAAATGTCCCTCAAGCTATGATTCAAGAATGTGCTCATCTAATATTTCAGTCAAAAGTATATTTGTTTCTTCTACCTATAAAGGCAAATAAAGCAATCTTTGGTTTTCAATACATTTATTTATTTAGACAACTGTACAGTATGTATAAACAAATTTTGCGATTCAAGTTTATGTTCAACTAATAAAGAAACATATCTATGGATATTTCGCAGAACCATTTCTGTTTTGTGGAAGCCGAGAAAATATAAGATGCGTCGTATTGTCAGGGTATTCAAGTGATCTAAACAAATTGCTTGGCAAAGCTGGCACCTTTGGGTTGATATTTTTATGTCAAAAAGCCTGCTGGACGTATCCGAAATGTCAAGATGTATTAAAAGTTTGACCCAAGCTTCGATAAATTACAAAACATGCAGATCACTTGGATAGCTATTAGTGCTAATAGGTAGAATAGGGTCTTACAATTTTACATTTTTTCCTAAATAGTTATTGTCCTTACACAACAGTGGTGTAAACGTAAACATAAAAATAATTTTAAAAGGAAATTCTTACTATTAGGACTATAGCAATATGCATTTTTTACATGCGAGATCACGAATAAAAAGAACAATATAGGCTAACAAAAAATATTGACCATAAGTAGGAACAACGTCATATTACATACTTACAATGTTGAAGGTTTGAAATGTTTTCATTCACTAATTCATAATACGTCATTATTTACAAAATTATAAATTGAGGTCTTGGAAATACTGTTTTCCTGTGTTACCTACCCAGAAAATTAAGAATTTGCTGTCTATAAAATGGACATGAAATAAAAATGCACTTAGGTCAGTATCCCAATCTATCTGAATACCTATTGTTTAAAGATACTAGCCCACAGGCCTGTATTATAACGCATCAATTACTCGCAACAAATTGATTATTGTTTGATAACGGTCTTTAGAAATTGGATATACAGTGCTGATCAAAGTCGTTTTCCTATTTAGACTCATATAGCTATGCACTGTCATTGCCAGGCGAACTGGTGACGACGCTTATTTGGCGCACTCTTCCTAACATTATTCGTCAGTTTATCTCTCTCTCTCTCTGTCTGTCTCGTGCACATAGAAATCTAAAAATGAGTACGCTTTACTCCAGCGCTGTACCTATACATATTTATTACAGATAATACATACGTTACCAAACATTCATCAATTTCAAAAACAAAAATAATATTTCATAATTTAGGGTGCTTGAGCAAACCCAAACATATGTATTGTTCCAACTTTGAGGTCTGTTATCGTACCAGACCGTACCAGACTCGTTCGATTATCATTTGTTGCGCTTTCATACGCATGCGCCGAATTCACCGTAACAAAGCTGTTTTACAACGCTCCCAAAACTGTTACGATAACTCTCACAATTTTTCCTTAATGTGCAAGAGTTTGATCGTTCCAGAACGGTTCTTAGACTGTCATAAATAAACTGAAGCAAGCAATTGTACGAGGGTGGTTCAAATATTATCGAGACAAATGGTCTGACACGTTTATTTACTATCGAAAAATTTTACAAAAATTTACAGTTTTTCTAGGGACGTTCCCTCACTAGTTACGCATTTTTTCCACCTTTCCGGGAGCTTTTTAATGCCGGTATTGAATAATTCCTTGGGCATCTCGGACAGTCATGTGCGCACGAACTCTTCTACCTCGTCGTCGTTGTCGAATCCTTGACCTTTGACCTCCGAGGGCTTCTGTCAGTGATCCAAACATGTAGTAGTCGCAGGGTGATAAGTCCGGACTGTAGGGGGGTGTTGCAGTACCTCCGACCCCAATTTCGATATTGTATCGAGCCTGAGACGCCCAGCATAAGGGCGCTGGGGAAGAATCGCACTTCTTGCTGGAATGCTTCTCCATTTCAAGCGATAAGCGGGTTTCACCTATGTTTTTAGAAGGTTAGAGTAGTATGCAGCATTGGTGGAACGTTGGGTGCTCAGGAAGTCGACGTACAGCACGGCGAAAGCTGTCTGGTGTGATGCTGGTTCGCGGTCGACGATCATGCAGCTCATTCTCGATGGTTTCGCGGCCATCCTTGAATGCTATGGCCCATTTAAACACAGCAGCCCTACTCAGACACTCACTACAGAACTGATTTTGCAAACGCAGAAAAGTTTCCGTGTTTTTATTGCCTTCCCACACTAAAAAACGAATGACAATATAAATTCGTAAGGGACGCAGCTATCATATACTCAAGCCACGACCTTCAAGACATACATGCACGCCATCTACAGCATTTGTCTCGATCATATCTGAACCGCCCTCGTATTTAATAAATGGCGTTGTGAATCCATTTATGTATATTTTGACTCAGTGATGCTTGAAATATGACAAATACCAAAATAACTATTAGGTTTACATTGAGTCTTAGAAAAAACATTTGCTACTTGAGAATAAGTAATTTTGGCGCAGTAACAACAAATATTCGTTTGGATAATGCCCTATATGAAGTAGCACTGGGTCATAATCCAGGTACCTACAGCATATTCCATACCTCATTTACGCCTTGTACGTAGAAGTAAGCAGTCGATCGTCGCTTCTTTTCGATTGTCGTTGCCTGCCCAGGCATTTAGGACCCGCTGGCAATAGACTCGCGCGAGTTTGAACTTCGCGCTCTGCTGCTTTTTTTTGACGGGGCGCAAATGAGATTTGTATACATCTTGTGTACTTATTTCATGGATATTGATAAAAGCCTCCGAAACATACACTATACACTAGATATTACGATTAGAGGGTTGTTGAGTCATCAGTTCAACTTTATTTTTTATTTTTTACACCAACTCTAAAGATCTTCCGTTATTAAATAAAATCTGTTATTAAATTAAATAAATGCTATTATTAATTGAGTAAAGGTACTGTAGTATTTTTCATTTTCCCTGACATCTGATATACAAAAGGCTGTAACTCAAAATCCAGTCATGAGAGCCTTCAAAAACTTTATAAAGTTAAGTGTTTTTTCGATAGTTTGTTCAATATCTCAACTACTTGAAAATAAAACCCTATAGCATGTTATATCAAATTGTTTTGTCTTGTTAAAAAAAAATGGATGCCTGGGTCACCACAGTTAGAATCATCCTGTAGAGATAAAAATGTTTCCTAAATAAGTAGTCTACAACTTTTGTAATCAACTTCTTTAGATATCTTGCGTAATAAGGGATTTATGGACAGTACATAAACTACAAACCCTGTATATTATGGATTTCAAAATCGTAACTTCAACATCATGTATCTCGGTAAGTGTTATTTTTGAGTGTACTTTCTGCCGGAGTAATATTGACTCGAATTATTTTCTATAAAGTTGAAGTCACTTAGCACAATTTAGCTGCAATTTTCTCATGATATGTTTTGACAGCGATATTCAATGATTTTTAGTTTACAATATACGTAAATTGTAAAGTCATGATTCAATTCGTTTAAGTATACTGTAATCATGAATGCCTAACGACACCTGGGCCATAGCAGCAAAGTATAATGAAATGTTAGGCTCATATTTATAGACACCACCTAAGTGAGGGTGTGAGTTTTACTTAAGGCGTAGCTCTCAAGAATATTTGATGTTGTGAAATATTTGAGTTTCAAACAATCCTAAGCTGATTCGTGTGATATCTCGCATAGGACCTTAAATGCTAATCAGGAGACAACATTGTACATAATTTCACACAAATTATACATTTCGCAGGTAAAAGCATCCCCCCTTCAGAGGTGAGTGTCTCTTAGGTCACACTTGAGTGAGACTTTAAAAATAATTTAGCACGTAACATACGACCAAGCACCTAAAAGCAAAATCTGGATATTATCCACAAAATTGCAAAAAAATCCTTCAAGTGACAGTTGGAAATGCCAGAATTACATTTAAGTGACTAATACTCCCTTAAGCGTCCGTTACTGTGACACTCATTATTTGTCATCAGGAGGCGACTGTAGATAACAGCCTGTCACGTTCGTAGACGTTGGTTGAGGATTGAGTACCGTTTGAGGAATTGTAAAATTTTTCGAAATCACAATTTTCGACATTTTCAAAACTACCAAAATTTTCACAATTTTTCGATTTTCCAAAATACATACTCAATATTTCTGAGATTTTCGAAAAATTCAAAACTTTTAAAATTTCCAGCTTTGAAAAAGATTTTTTTTTTAAAAACTGGGAAAGCTCATAACATTTTCATAATTTTCAAAATTAACAGATTAGTCACGGTTTTCAAAACTTTGGAAGTTATCAATATTTTCAGTTTCAAAAATTTGAAGACTTGTCAAGACTTTCAAAGGGCCGCCTGCAAAACATATTGAAAATGGGTACCATTCGATTTATCAAAAAATTCAGTACGACATATCTCTCTCCTTTCTCATAGGACCAAAGCAATCCCATGATTAGTTTCTCAGGAGTAGGGGGATTAAGTTTGCCTGGCTTGCAAAAAAAGAATCAGTTTGTTAAAGAAGTGTTCCATTAAAACGCCATTGTTTCAAATGAGGCAAACTTCCTCCATTTATTTCTCAGAAACTAATTATAGGGTTGCTTTGGTCTCATGAGAACCTTTGGTCAGTAATGCGAGACAATTATATCATCCTCAATTTTTAGACTAATCAACTGAGACTCATTTTCGATTTTGTGCGGGGTCTTTTCAGAATATTCAGAATTTTCAAAATATTTAGAATTTTCAAATCACAAACATTTAGAAGATTTCTGTAGATTAGATAATTTGGAAATTGTGGAAAATCTTCCAATTTTTGGAATCTTGTGATGACAACTGTAACAACCTACTATGAAAAGCAAATGCCAAATAGTTCGTTGAACGTTCCACAGAGAAGCGTTAGGTACTATTTAAAATCGAAGGACAGACCATTCTTCAGAAGAAACTCAATCCCCGAGGAACGTATATAAATGTCTTCCTACATAAAAACAGAATTGTCATTCAACAATAAAATAACCCATCCAAAGCAATTGACAAAAGGAACATCATAACAAGTAGATAAATGATTCATGGCCGCCCATATAGCAAAAAGCAGAGGGGGGCAGTTTTGGATCACCCGTTTAAAGCGGTGGGAGCAAAAATTATTTTGAATTATTAAGATGCTTTGAGGAGTAAAAAAAGACACCCCCACTAGTTCAATAAACGCTCTCTTGCCTCCTAGTATGGACGCCCACGGTAGGATTTATTTTTTGGTGATGAGCCCCATAGGCAGCAGGTCGCATTCGCAAGCTGCCCCACCGTCTCCCGCATGACATTTTCTGACACACCATGCAGGCCAGTTGACTTTAGGGTCGCTTTCCAGGACCAACGACTGCTTAGAGAACTCCGAAGCGGTAGCATATGCCTCGCAGGATTGACACCCGTTCAGTTGGTAGTTGTAGTGGAGGCAATAAAAACTGCAAACTGAAATAGAAGATCAAATCCTTGAATGTAGGCAATGAACTATTAATAATAATAATAATTAACGTCTTTTTATTTGTAATAGTATTACAGGAGGTGAGATTTATATAATATCTATTCTACCATCTAACCCCCTCAGCAATACGAGATAAAAAACTGAGAATTTGTTGAAAATTAATACCTGTATACAATAACGACAAAATCAAGTATAGTCTATGTAAAGGCAGAAGGAAAACATGAGGCCACTCATGGGTTACAACAGATTGCGCTGCTGATAAAGAAGAACTTTCACTTTTCTTTCGAATTTGGGTAATGAATTGGTTCCTTTCAAACTGCGGTCTAAAGAATTAGATGATTTGATTGCATTGTAAATATATGTATTCTGAAATACAGATGTGCTGTGGCGTGGAATTGGAAAAGTATATCTATATCTAATATTAATGCCATGCATATTCCCTCTACGTATGAATTTGTTTACTAAATATGACTGTGTTTTTGAAAAGAGAACCCAATGAGTCAGACCTAGGAGCTGGTACTTATACATTTCATCAATTTTCATCCATTTGATTTCATTATTGGCCTTCGATATATGATCAATCTTTCTGAGACCATTTACAAGTCTGTAACATGTATTCATAATACTTTGAATACGGTTTCTTGTTATAACATCTAAATAGGGATACTAATCTCATTATTTTTATACTCGTTCGAGTCTACCTTCCATAAACATGGATGTTTTACCTTACGCTTTCAATAAAATACTCCATTTAGTCTATTGCGAATTCCGAAGCGCAAGAACAAATAACAAGGTGGCGCATCGCGCCAAGCCGGACTCCATCAAGAGCGGTTCGTGGGCATTTACGGGTGACGCGACGCAAGGGGAGGATAGATATAGCGCGTTATAGGGCAGAATATCGCTCGGTAAGCATATCCCGACAGATACGTAATATATCACTGGGATATAAATATATCTTATAGCGTCCGTGCGTGGCGGCTCAATACGTTTACACATGGAGCGATATTTCTGTAATATGCAGGATATAATATACAGGGTGGCGCATCGAAAACGAAACAGACGCATTTACTGGCAGCTCAGATTTTTTTTTGGAAAAACGCTCAGACCCGTCGATTTTGTTTTCGATGGGGACACAAGTTTGGCAAAAAATCACGTTGACACGTGCAGCCCCCTGGGCAGGGGTGACACCAACCCTAAAATCTTAACTGGAAAGGGAGTCGAGTGATATCTTATTTTAAAGGTCTTTCAATTCCCTTCATAATGATGTAAAATACATGAACTTCAGTTCAGTAGTTTTAAAGATTTATTGACTTAAAGCTTAAAGTAGACTTTAATAGGTACATCAGATTAGTTGTACTGCTTTCAGAAGAAATTTGACTAAAAGAATTTACTCAATAAGTAAATGCTTTTCTTCACTACGCCTATGGTTTGTTTATCATTTTGTTGTTGAAAATAGCTATTGGAGCGCTTTTTGTGGTAAAAAAGTTATTTTTTGAAGAAAGATAAGGAAATATCTCGTACTTATTTTAGATAGGAATTTAGTACATAGTTTGCGATTGATTTGACCAAACTTTGTTGCTAAAATAACTTGTAACGCTTTATTACATAAATTAACCGTGGTATATTCCACAGCGGAAAGAGTTGAAATTATCGAAATATTTTTCGGAAATAATTAGTCCGCTGATAGAACAGCAGAAATATTTAACGAGCGACATGAGAACAGTAACGTGCATCGAAAATATGGTCTAGAACTTGTAGCTAAATTTCGGGAAACTGGGTCAGTCGCCAATAAAAAACGCAACATTGAAAATCCCATAAGGAACGAAGCAATAGAAGTGGGGGTTTTAGGGCAAGTTTATGTAGATCCTACGTTAAGTACCCGCAAATTGGAGACTGTGTGCGTTGTTAGTCGACGTACAGTCCAACGGATTCTAATGGCCCATAGTTTTCATCCGTATAAAATTCACCTGGTACAAGAACTTATTGAAGACGATTTTGATCGGCGATTACAATTTTGTGAAAATATGAGTGAACGAATTATAAACGATGAACATTTTCTATTCAACACTTGACGAATGTTCCTGTTTCTTAAATGGCGTAGTAAATCGTCATAACTGCCGATATTGGTCCGATTCTAATCCCAGATTTTATCACGAGGTTCATACACGGCAGCCACAAAAATTAAATGTTTGCGCTGGTATTTTTGTCGATCATTTAGTTGGTCCTTTTTTCTTACCCGGAAATTTGACCGGTGGAATCTATTTGGAATGACTGGAAGACGCCATAGATCCTGCATTGACAGCCATAATTGAAAATCAGAATGATCGGCGGTACATTGCGAATAGGTTGATGATCCAACAGGATGGTGCCCCACCACATTACGCATTACGTGTTCGACAATGTTTAGATTAGACGTTTCCAGACCGATGGATTGGTAGAAGAGGTGCCATTGAATGGCCTCCAAGATCACCAGATTGCCTTGGATTTCATTATGTGGGGTCATTTAAAAAGCAAAATCGCTGCTACTCAGCCAACAGCATTAGAAGACGTGCCACACAGAATTGTGAATGAGTGCATTCAAATTACTCTTCAAATATTACAAAATGTGCGGCAACGTTTTGAGCAAAATCTTTATTTTTGCATGGAGAGTCATGGTGGGCATTTTCAACATTTACTTGCCTAACGGCATTCTTCACTTTTAAATTACTTTGCTGCCAAATGTATTGATCTCCACTAATGATGATGTATTAGTTGTAGTCAAGCTTTAAATCAATAAATCTTCAAAACTACTGAACTGAAGTACATTAATTTTATATCAATATAAAGGGAATTGAAACTCGGCCCCCCTTTCCATTTAAGATTTTGGGGTGGTATCACCCCCGCTTAGGGGGCTGCACGTGCTAACGTGATTTTTTGCCAAACTTGTGTCCCCCTCGAAAACAAAATCGACGGGTCTGAGCGTTTTTAAAAAAAAAACTGAGCTGTCAGTAAATGCGTGTTTCGTTTTCGATGCGCCACCCTGTATATTATATTATCGCTCATCGTCCGTTGCCAGCTTTACATAGCCAGTCACTAGTTAGGATACATAGCAACAGCGGCACGATGATTCCGGTACAACGAAGAGATTAATACCTTTGATTAAGATGTGCTCACCAGGTAACACTAATCTGGTCCTGCCATTTGCACTCCTTATATAATGTCCCAGCTGTGCAACTGGTCATGAATGGTTGTTAACCTGGAGGACATGCTCGTTGCAGGAAACTAGCAATCACTTATGGTATACACATGTATGACAAAAATGAAGGTTCTTATTACTTTTGAACTACACTTATAGTACACCGAGATGACATGAATTGTGATAGCATTGTTAGCTCTAAAATAATCGAATAGGTAGAACGTTCCATCAGTTGATGGCTATCCAGCAAAACAACTTTTGTTATACTTGACACAAAGTCCCACATCGCACGTTGAAGGCTTCCATATAAGGTGCGTGAGATGACAATTGAGGAGCTTGCGTTCAAAATCACCTATATCCGTTATTTGGATATTTTGACATTTTCGTTGATTGCCTCTAAGTTTGAGGAGCTCTAGCAAATGGCACGTTCATTGTGTTCAAAACCGCAAAGTTGTGGTTTTGCATTAAAACCGTCTATATCTGATTTTGTGATCAAAACGGCTTATATCCAGGATCAGCTGATTCGCTCATGCATATTATCCGCTAATTATTGAGGTTAGCTATTAGAATTTAGTACGCAAAGCAACGAGCAGGAACTTATAAGCATTAGAGAGGTAAATAAAGGCACAAGACGCCGCAAAACAGCAAGAGAATAAGTCCCCTACGTGAAATTTCCGTTACTTTCCCCATTCATGAGCACATCTTCATGGCAGTCAATCGCTGTTTTGGTAGAGTTGCAAAATTACTTAAGAAGAATCCAGTAATACTTCCTAAAGAAGAGTATATTAAAATTTATAGTGAAGTAGGGAAAGTAAAAGTTATAGCAACCGACTCGAAAATAGTTGATATTAAAGACCTTGAAAGGGTATTCAAAAGTCAGTCATTCAATCTCGGTCACAGCGAACACACATACACTGTAGGTTCGGTCCCTGTAAACTATTGTTGGAAACCAAATAAAGTTTTTTAAAAACGAAGTTTGAAGTTCCGACTACATAATTCAGGAGAGTTTCATAGCTGAATGTTATCTAAGCTGTCTATGTCTAACAAGTGCATAATATTACTTCTTGGCCTTTCACCGATACCAGAGATGCAATATTTACATATTCTCTACCCCTTACAATTCCCAACTCCCTACAAACCTAATGCCACAATTTTCTCTCAAAAATTTTTCTAAAAGTGAGGTACACTGCAACTATAAAAACAAAGTTTGAGCGATTGTATTTTTTTTGTACGTAGCAACGCTATTACTGGCTCGATTTTCAAAACCTAGAAAGCTGTTTCGCCCTTGGTATAGTAGTACTTTTTTGTCAAAATTTAAACAAAATCCGATGGACGCTTTCCGAATTATAGGTACAGGGTCCAAAGATTAGCAAACAGTCAAACCGAGGGCATAAAGTAACTACTAGGAGGGGACAGCCTGTCAAAAATCAGGTTCTATCGGCGCCAACTTGAGGCCTATGTGTTTGGTAGGATTTCCTTGGCTGCCAATTGCCACTGTGAATTATAGGGATTCGATTTACTTACTTCTACTCCTTTTGGTGGTTATATGCAATATAAAAATCTATCAAAACCTTATCATGTCCAAATACATGTGGGCAAATGACACATTGCTTGATTTTGTAATTTGACGTAAGATATTTGTGACGTCAGACTAAAGAAACTTAACCACCCTTGGGACAAATTCCTCTGGACGCACATGGAATCGGGTAAGAAACGGGCCAAACAATTGAGGAGACGGAGATCAAAAGGACCGACAGAAGGTGTCACATTTGCATAATCTTTGCTAAGGTGATCAGTGACATATGGACACCCGCAAGAAATATTCTCAGGTAGAGCCGGTGATGGGTAACAGACATCATTTTGTGAAAGTGTATCTATCTGCCCAAAAAACTTGTTGAAGGGCGGGGGATAGCAGACTTTTTCAGCAGAGGTCAAATACAAAAATCTCCCAAGTTGTACAAAAAACATCATATGCAAATTTTAAGGTCTAACTGAATTCTTAGAGGGTGGTGCTACCACCTTCCCTCAGGCACCCCCCTGCGGGCGCTCATGGAGTGACATGGTTTTTCGTAATGTGCATGCACGTAACATCACAAAAACCGAAAGCAAAAGGGAGCACACCTACATTTTGAGCCTAAACACATTGTTTTTCATTGCCTCGTCATTGATCGTGATGGCCATATGGGTTTTACATAAAGATAATAATGATTTCGATAATACCTCACGCACAGCTTGTACGAGTATACCGTCCCAACATCGCCCTGTCCTTATAGGAAAACATCAATAATGAGCACCCAGCAAATCCCACTGCACATTCACCGATCACATCTAACAACGATCAAAATTCACTCACTCTGTATGAAGTTTGGCCTGTGCTGGTCATCTCTCCAATTGCCTCCGGGACATTTGCAGAGCGGCTTGCCAAGGCCGTTGAGGCACAGCATGTCGCAGACCTCATCTCGCACCCGCGTCTCGTTGTTTTCGGCGGCTCCTGATGGGGGAGCCGCTCCTGCCGCCGCTCCTGCAACGGGCAGATCTGCAGGAGTGAGATCGACGCAGTCGTCGCCGCAGGAGTGACCGCCCAACCCTGAAGAGCATAGCTCCACGCAGATCTTGCGCGCTTCGCTACGAGATACGGTTGGACGCAAGAGTTCGGAAGACACGCCTTCGCAGTGGAGCCACAGCAGGAAGGCGCACAGGGCGAGGTTCAGCTGGAGTCTGCAACAGGGAGTGATACCATTTATTAACGTATCATTACAGTATACAGGCTGTTTCAGAAAGACGTGCCAATATTTCTATGGTAGAAAGTACATTCAAAAATGACAAAAAAGTTCCTATAAATAACTACAGAGGTACAGACGCGTAGTATGGCCCAGTTTCAGTCCGAGAGCAATAAAAAAATAAACGCCAAAAACTAAAAAAATATTTTTATTCGCAACGTGTAGAAGAACTATAAAGGAAATAAAATGTTATCCAAAAACATCAAAAAAATCAGAAACATAGGAAAAACATATCAAAAACAAAAATGTGTTATTTTGGCAATATTTCTGACTTTCGATGAAATATGGCCCAAGTACCGAAACGTGGTCAGAAATATGGCCCTCAATTCATTTAATTATTCAGACGAACAATTAGGGCACTAAAACACTTCTGTGTCCTCGGCAGTCAATCCAACGCATATTTCGTGGATCCACAATAGGCAACTGGCGCACTGTCGCATATCACTTACAGAATCCTTCTTGCACACACCACATAGCCAATTTCCTTTCGGCTTTGATTGGCTTTTTGACGACTTCGTTGAGTTTGCTTGATATGAGTGTTCGGTACATATCTCTCTTTTTAACAGCTGCACTTTATAATTTAATGCCTTCCTTTTTGGTCTTGATTTCACTGTTCCCATATCAGCCGTTTTCAGGATATCTGAGAAATTCAAATTTTTCTCAGGTGCTGAACATTTTGCTCCTTTATTTACGGAGTCTTGCATTTTAGTCTTGATAATAGTTATATTTAAAATATTAATTTTTTTATTCGTATCACATGTAATAGCAGACGTTTGTTGATCAGTCCAGTGAGAACAACCAGCACCCGATTTTTCCTCTATTTTCATTCTTGTTGATGGATTATGATTCTTGAGGAAATATCCAAGTGGCAGATCATCATCTGAGCTATTATAACTTTCCGGTTCACCATCCATCACTTCAGGAATGTCTTTATGTGTCAAGGTAGATGGAGCAAAAGCAGTCTCTGGAACAACATCCGGGTCGAAGGGAAAAATTCCTGTTGACCTGAAACCACTTTGAATGTTGCGTATTGTCATTGCTTGTTGCCAAACTTTGGTATAAACAAGTCCAAATCTGTCCTTTTTAATACTCTCATTGCAGCAGGGTTACTCTCCCAGTATTTCATCAACTCAATATCCCAATAATGCTCGAAACTACGAAAAACCGCCTTATCCAGCGGTTGTAGTTCATGCGTCGTATTTGACGGTAACCAGTAAATTGAAATGTCATGTTGTTCAGCCACTTCCACGATTCAGATATCTAAATGGCAGGAGGCACCATCCAAAATCAGAAGAACCTTACCAGCAGGTTTATACTTTGACAAATGCTGCAACCATTTAAGAAATATTTCTCGTGTCATGCTGCCTTTAGGAGACATTTCAAGTATCGACCCAGGAGGCAAATTGTCGCTGTAAGATTCCTTTTTCCGCAAGCCTTTGAATATTAACACACGCGGCACAGTTGCCCAAGAGCGTTAACACAAGCAACAATTGTTGCATTCTCTGCATGTTCATTGCAGATATTGTGGACCCTGCGTTCCCATTTGGATGCCAAGACTAACTGAGAATGATGTAAAGTTAGGCGGCACCCTTTTTCATCTAGATTATATATCTATCCGTTGTGGTGAGTTTTGAATGCTTAATTCGTTAAGGACTTTCAACAATTTATCAAAGTGGTCTCTCACAATAACGGGATTTAATTTTTGAGCCCTCGCAGCATGGATTGAGCTTTCCTTTTCGATATTTTTAGATACCGTCTCAAAAAACTTTTATACCACGTGAACCCAGCCATTTCTTTTGACCTATTTATGTGAAATATTGTTGGTTATACAAAACTGGTAGACACTTCTTCGCACGGATTTTGGAGTGAGTGGTAGTTCTGAACGAGAGAGCTTTAAAATGCGAGCTCCCAACTCTCCCTCTTGTTCGAAAGTAAGTAAAGGTTTACGACCTAATATTCTATCGCTAAGACCAGATTTTATATGATTCCGTAACGTAGTTCTAGGAATTCCGCATTTTTGCTCCACGTATCGTTGGCTTTTCCGCTACTAAGAAGTTGTAGCGCCTCCGACATCATATCTTGAGTCCAATTTCCTCGAACTCCCCTACATAATTTCCCCATTTTCGACCTGAAAAACAAAAAACTGAATTAGGATAGAAGGATGAAATGGTCAAAAATATGGCCCACCGCCATGCAGAAATTTGGCTCACTGGCTGGGCTGTATTTCTGCCTATGTACAAGATTCATATTTTAGGTTAGATTTTTGTAACCTATACAGATACTTTGCAAACTCACAAGTTTTACGAAGGTCATCCATGGCGAAGGCGAGATTCGAACTCGCGACCCGGCCGGCCGGCTGATCAGTAGCACGACACTCTGACCAACGCGGCCAACCGAGGCCCCCTTTACGAAGGTTAAGGACTAATGTTTCTATTGAATGTAAGCACTTACCTTTAACTGTATTAGGTATACCCTGCAATATTTCACTTTCAACTTTCACCAAAATAATAATGTATCAACTCCTAAGGAACAGGAGGGGCTTACGTGCAGAAAGAGCGCGGAATTCTGAACTATAAATTAAACCTCATTTACCGACCTGACTGAACTTTAAAATAATGAATCTATGCATCAACAGATGTCACTACAGAAAAATATATGAGCAGCGGGTCTTATTTATGCCTGGGCCATATTACCCGAATGTACCTTATGAGCCCAAAGATGCTTCTCTACCGAAATACAGGGTGATGAAGTTTTATTTACAAAATTGAAAAAGTTATATCTACGGAGCAAGTGAAGATACTGAGTTAACACGATGGATGCCCATCAAATTGAGGTGTTCTTCCGCCAGTACCAACTATCAAATTTCAGTTTACCTACTTCAAATTGTTAATAAATTCAATATAGAGTATTTTTTTTTTCGCTAAAATAAAATGACGCATATGCTGCGTCAGGGACACTCAGCAACAATTTTTGGTCCTTAGTGCCACATACACAAGGGCGGATTTATAACCTCAGTGAAACTTCTAGAATTTATTCTATTATTGCTCCTTAAATCTATTGTGTTCTATCTGGTCAATGCTAGCTTGAAAAAAAAACAAAAGAAAATGCTCAGAAATTCTCAGAAAGGCAATATTTTATTATATGAGAACAAAATAAATACGTGGCATTTATAATTAACTAGTGTAATAATATTAAAGATTAAAACATAAAAAACTCTGTTAACCGAAAAAAAAAAACATTCTGAGGGATCCCGAGACATATCGCAGTCCATTCCACATAAAACAATGTTTTTGATAGCGGAAACAAAGAAGGATGTCTATAGACCGTCTCTTGAGACCGTCTCCAGTCTGTCTATAAACAAATTGCGCAACGGGGTCAACTAGTGTGTACTAAGCACTTCTATTATATCAGCAGGTGACAAAAATATAAATAAGTATAGTCAATTATTTTTTGAAAACCAGTATAGATGTTACAGTTATTCTGCAGAGTATCGTTGTCGAACTTAGATTTGTTCTTTTCTCAGTTTTCGAATCGGTGTTGATCGCATGTAAAAATGTTGTAAATCTTTGGAAAAAACGATACTTTTAATCGTAATTATTTTGGTAATGTATGTTTGTACCGAACAAGTACAGGAATACAGAGCTGTACATATTCACATGAAGTGTAGAAGCTTTGTGATTGAAACGAATTCAATATAGCAACATAAATAGACACATACGCGGGACGTGTGGCATTGACTTTGATCATCGATCGACGCATGTTCTGGACAGGCCACAGGCTTTCATCTCACATAGTGCTTCGCTGCAAGAGCAACCCCGAACAAAATCAGTAAAGCTTTACACACTTTTCAAATTACTATTGAGCAATAAACATAAAATAAATCACTTTTTAAGCGCAATCTGCATAGCTAAGATATTACTCCGACTTAGATTTGTCGCAAGTGATAATACTCGTATATACGTATAAATCTCAAGAATTGTGCTGTAAATGTAAGTGATGTCAAAGAGGGACAGCGTTTGGAATACCAAACGATACCAAAAAAATCGCAATGCTCAGTTCCTATAGCTATAACTTATAGTTAGGATGCCTCTGTTGCCATGATGTATCAAAAAGTAACACAATGGTGTTAGATTACAAAAGCAAGTGTCAGACGTCTAGAGAGGGGGGCGCGTAGGGCGCCCCCCTCTAAATCCGCCACTGGTCATACATACATTGGTTTATTTATTTTTTAGAATACAAAAATAAAAATAATATTCGGGCCGGGCCCGTTCCACAGCATAAATTTACATTACTGTCGTCATGGGAATCGCATGTGTTAAGCTTTAAAACGTTCAGTGAGCACGTCCTAAGCAATAAGCACTCAGATTTTCCCGGCAGAAACTAAATCAGGAACGTAGAAACTGGGTACCTGTACCCCTAATAGGAAATATTTTGAGCGCCACTGGCGTTTTCGCAGAAAAGAAGTGCATTTTACAAAATACCACTCAATTTTCCATTAATTTTGTACCTTAAGGAATTCTTGTCAAATCATTATGGCTATATCTGGGTTTGAATATATGAGGTAAAATCCTAAAGTAGTCTTATGAAAAGACCGTGAAGCTTGATATTGGAAACATTATATGGCATGCGAAGAAAGCTATGGCACCTCATTACAACATCAATAATTATAATTCATTAAGCGCACGGTCCTTAGTTTTGCTGGTCTTACGCGGTGCCATCTTAAAATTGCAATGATAGTTTCGGGCAATCGACAATATTAAGCAGTGATTTTTTGTTGTTCCTGTCCACTTCTCCTCTCGAGTCTGTATCGGGGCGTTTCGGCGTCGGCGTGGTGTTTCATTTTTTTTCAATTCCTTTTAAACTGAATATTGAAATGTTTGACTACGTACAAAAAGCTGATAAATCGTGCTAATCAATCAGCAAAACAGATTGGTTGCGCCTCCTGTGGTTTTATCATAAAAACAATTTATAACATACAATGAAATATCTTATTTTCAGCAGTTTATGTGAAACAAAACCTTCAGAGGTTATCAACTTAGTTCCACCAATACTTCAGAAAATAATGCTTAAAGTTAAACCAGTTAAACATTTCATTGAATTATATTCTATTTCGTAGAAAACAAAAGCAATGCCTGACATAAATAAAAGGAAACATTAACAATAATACCCTATTTACTTTTCTAATTCTACCAAATGATACTGTACAACACGAGTTCTGTTGAGGTCTCACGCCTCTTGTTTCGTTTTTTTCCAACTACCTGTTTGCAGCAGTATTCTAAATCCCTTTCACCTGATTATTTCATATAGTTTTTGCTTTTTTGTCAAACATGCAGTTTTTGTGCATTTTATTGTGCATTTTTTCTTCAATCATATCTTGTTAACAAATAATAGGACAGCTCTGAATTTGTAACTGAATATCCACTTTTATGGAAGAATGAAACGGTTGATTAGGTACTTTTATTCTTATCACTTTCTCCTTCGAAAATTCATTGATATTCTTGAAACCCTATTTTGCAACAAATCGAGTTTTCAAAAAAAGCAAAGAGAAAGTGATAAGGAAACAAGTAGTCACCGACTCATTCTATCATAAAAGTGGAATATCCACATACAATTTTAGAGCTGTACTATTATTTGCTATCAAGTTACGATTGAAGAAAAAATGTATAAAAATGCATAGAAATTCGTTTTTCACAAAAAAGAAGCAGGTAGAATTGTTTTTCAGTCATCTCTAGTTGAGTCATTTATTTTAACAGTGAGTAGATCTGATCAAACGAAATGTTTTTTCCTTTACCATTTTTCTGGTAAAATTAAAGTAACGAAGTTATAGCCCTTTGGAAGTTTGAGTACCGCCCTGTCTCAATAATAATATTATGTGCTCGTGTTTGGCAACAACGGATATAATCCGCCTTATCGGTTCATCGCATCGGAAACAAAAAAGCGAAAGAATTTGGAACGATGTTTTTACAATTATTTTATTCAGTTGTATACAGTCAGTGTCAGCAGGTAACGCGGGAGTGAATACTGGTGTCTGTTGCGTGGCTCAAACGAAATAAAAAATGGCACATGTTTACGAAAATGCTGAACTTGTGGACATGATTCTTATTTACGCGGCATCACGGATTTATGCGGATCGGTTTCCCAATCGAGTGCAACCAACCCCTCGTGCCTTTGTTAATGTAGTACAAAGGGCTCGTGAATCAGGTGACTTAAGACCTCACAGGGGAGGGCATGCCGGTGCTCCAAGACCGCACCATCAAATACAGGTCCGCACTGAAATACTTGTCGGGAGGATACTTTATAAAACAAGGTAACATTTTTTTTTATTTTTTTTTTATTTTTACACACATATTTTGGTTTATCTTCCTTCTACAATCATTATCTGAAAATTAATGATTCAACTTCAAAGTCTGTATACGCCATGAAACAATCGGACGAAAGGTATTAAGAATACTCCCCCAGACAGGCTGTTGAAAAAAAGGGACATGCGGTGTTAAAAGGTAAACGGCATTTAATATACAATTCCCCCGAATTTAACCTTCCAGACCAACTTGGGAATAAAGTTAAATATCCACAAAAACGTATTATGCAGGTCCGGACCTGACATTTTTGTATGTATGTAATTGTGATGATGTGTGCTTGCATTTATGTGTTGTTTTGGTGAGAGCACGTAAACGAAACTATGCTGAAAATCCGGAGTCCGTATCTGTATATGCATTGGTTTTTCTATATCTTCATAATAATAATCCTGAATTCAAATTTAGTGCATTTGCATTTTATGCCGTTTTCCATTTAAAGCAGGACTCATGTTTTCGGATAACATTAGCTGGTAAAATTAAATAATTAAAAACCTACTCAAATTTAGTGCATTTGCATTTTATGCCGTTTTCCATTCAAAGCAGGACTCATGTTTTCGCATAACATTAGCTGGTAAACTTAAATAATTAAAAACCTACTAAAAACATTAAATAGGGTGCATAACACTAATTTTCCCATTTATCTGCATCATCCATTGTTATTTTTGCGAAATAATAATACATACAGAGTATGTATTATTATTATACAGAGTTATGTATTAT